GGCAAACGTTCGAATTAACAGTTTTCACGCGCGTTCGAGGGATGATACGACTAGATTCGACTAACGTCTCTTTTTCTACGGAATAACAAAGCCTGATACTCGAGCATGCGATCGCGAATCGGTGCCCTAACGGTTTTGTTATCCGAACGGAACGTCGTCTCCTAGCGGCAGATGCCTTCTCGACTATGTTGCAAACCGCGTTGCAGGATTTGTTCGTTATGAGAAAACGAGAGAAACGGTCCAAGGACTGCACGGTAGAATTTTACAGTTACTCGTCGGCGTGCAATATAGTCATAAAGCCATTAAAGCAGCCGTCGCATCGTTAAGTACCCTGGCCAGCAGCACAAAGAGACACTTCCAAATTTTGGGCAATTCCTAATGTCCTTTCGAGATCCTCCAAGATCCCTGGACTGTCGATCTCGAGTGTCGGATCTCGTAAAAGGTGAATCCTCGAATTGCGGGTCAAACATCGATGGACGACGGTTATGGGAGCTTCTTCAAACGAGGAAACGCGAGACCATAAAAATGCGATCATCGCTGGCAAACGAGTTGGAAAGTAGTAAATGAAATCCTTGGCACAAATATTCTGGTGCACGATGATTAAAGCAATATAGTAATATATAGCATAACGGAAATTCGTAGAAAGATTCTAGCGACTCTTTCTACATTCCCCTTCGACCGATGTCTAAACCGAATAAACGTGCCTATTATTCGGCTTTTACGTTACGTATAGCATTTTTTATATCCCTTTAATTGCTCCTCCGTAAAGAAACGCTAATTCCCAAGGATGCACACTCGGTCGTCGATGAAACCGAGCAACCCGTATTCGTTAATGAAAAAGTGCCATTCTAACATTTGGGCAGCCACTTACTGGTAACTGTCTTATCGCGTTGATAAGGAAAAAAATTGAAGGAAATACACGCATATGGATATACTTGAAAGGAGTCGCGACTTCTTCGTATTCTCTTGCCATGTACTCCCTGTCACTGCCTTTTGTGCCTGTCTCTCACGGTTCACGACTGCTCGAAACTCTCGAGTCGATCTTCCAGAGAAAAAAGCGACGGGGAAAGGCCGAAACGAAACGAAAAGCACGATTTCACGCGTCGCAAGTGGCACGTGGAACGATTAAAGTATCAACTCACGGAAAGGCGAAACGATTCTGGGAATTATTTTCACAAGGATAAACACTGCAATCTCCGAGATCTCGTATTCTGCAAACGATTAAGAAAGTAGAAGAACGACGACTCGAACCCTCCCTAATTTTAGAAGGGCGACGTATAAAAGTCGAGAATGATCGATTTGGTATAGAATTGTCCACCTCGTCGAGGGATGAGTTGCTACAGCTTCAAATTTATTAACCTCCAGAAAAAAGGTATCGAAACGGTACCAAAAAGGACGTGGCCACTCTCTCACGACCGTACGACGTACTTGTTCCCGAGGAAACGCCGAGGAAGGTGGCAGAGTGCGAGCGGCGAGATGAAAGGAACCACTCGTTCCACGTTTTTCAGCCGCACGCTTACGAGATCTCATCTGTGACTTGCTCGTTCACAGAAACACATCCGAAAACGCGCTTGTGTCCCGTCCACGCGAAGGTTGAACGTATTTAGTGCGTCGTCGCTAATTAGAAAACGCCATAAGGGCCTGAAACTGGAGAACACCCGGTAGCGAGCATCGTACACATTCGGATCTCGCTTTATCGAAGTCGAGGATCCGGATATCCGTCTTCGTAGCAGTATACGAACAACAATTTCTCGTTCTTACGATCTCTCTCCTAATTCGACAACGTAACACTTGTTTTTCTATTCGAGGTAGTACCGATACATAGGAATCACTTCGACTACCCCGTCCACAAGGAGTAATTTACGATCAGAAGCGAAAGCACCGAGTCTCGCGTTCGGAGATATTAAACGCGACGCCATTCGTGGGAGAGTGATAAGTGAAGTCCCGTGTAAATTCGGGAAGTCGTTTCCTTCGCGATGCACTCCGATGCATCTGCTTGTCACGATAAGCGAGACGAAGATTCCTCAAACGACGACAACGACCGGGGAACAAATTTTTTCTCTCGGCTTGACGCTTAAAAAAAAAAAAAAAAAAAAAAGAAAGGAAGAAGCAGGAAGTAGGGAAGCAGGATATTAGGTCCTCGAAAGAAGAGTACCGCGGTCCTAAAGTGTTTCCCAATTGAGCACTTAAGCGCGACTCGCCTAATTTCGTTCTAATTCCGTCGCTTCCTCCTGTATCGTCTCGAAGTATTCATTTTTCTGCGCGCACAAATAATATAAAAAAATATTGAAAGTAAAGTTCATATCGTATTTTCACAGTAAAATAAATTCCTGCATAAAGTTCTAACGCGTTCGAATGCTGTTGCGACTGTAACTGGAATCTAACGCCGTAGCTCCTCATGGCGGCCATCATAACCGACGATGGAAAGGCGTAAGGGTGGGCGGAGGTACATGGAAAAGGGGAGAATTTATTCCCGGACATAATACCGAGTTTATAACCGAGTTAGCGAAATCGGCTTCGCTCTCCGCTTATTCCGCAGCCGGAAATAACGAGGGAGCGAGGACGAGCGGTGGAGCGAGGCGGGGAGTGCCGGCGAGGGTGGCTTGATTAAATTAGGGGATGATCGCGCGAAATTAGAGACATTAAATTCTATGCCGGCACGGTCGCTCGCGAGCACGTTGTTTCCAGACTTTTCCTCGGATTTTCCAACATGCCCCTATTCGCGTTCAGGGAAAATCTTCGGATTCCGAGCGAGCTGGATTAAAGTAAACGCCTCGGTAGTGGACACCTTTAATGCTTCTTTTTTTTTTTTTTTGCAACAATTACCGCGTTACCATTGCTTCGCAATGGATTTTCACTGGGGGACCAATTGGATTCTTTGTTTCGTTTATCTTATTTGGTGTGGAACTTGAGCAGACTAGTCTTCTTTTTGATCCACTATTTTAACAACGTCACTCTGAAAAGAGATAGCCACAGCCTATCGATTAATCACACACCTTCGCGTTCGATCGTACCTCTAGTTTTAATAGAAAAATTCTAGTTTGTTATCTAAGTGGAGAACATTTCGCGCGATAAAGGCGACGATTATGGAAATAAATTGCACCCAAGTAAAAAAGTCAATCGCTCTCGAGGAGGGCGTGCATCTGGCTGAAAGGGATAATGCGATCCTCGAGTCGTCGACGTATAAATCGACCGGGAGAGGCAGCGATTGGCTGGCGAAAGTGCGAAATGTTTACGACACGCCGACAGAAAAGGAGCCTGACAGACCGTCCACTGTGGAGCAGAGCTACGACATCAGCGTATAGACTCGTTAATGGCACTTCGTCGCTCATCGCGCGGCCAGCTTTGAATTTAAACGGCTGGGAAGAAGTTCGACGATGCCATCCGATCGTCCTGGGAACTTTTGGTTTACGCAGGACGCGTAAATGCGATGAAATCGCTAACTCGAATATTCCGCTTTAATAACGGGCCGAGAAAAAGTTGGCGATGAATAAAGAAGGAAGGAAGAAACGAAAGCGCAGCTCCTAGATTAAGTTACACTCAGCTTCGGGGATCTAGGTAACAGATCGTTAAGGCGAAAGATCGAGGAGGTCTGGCGGTGGAATTACATTTTTTAATTATGGCCAGAGCAAGTTCATAATTGGTGCTCACTACGCGGGGGATGAAACTTATTAGTCGGCAAGGCTTTAGCGTCCTGAGGGATATAACATGGCTGGCTTGCGGAAGGATACCTCCTTGCTGCTTCCAGGGACGCATCGCGATTCGCGAACGGTTGCAAATACGCGTACAATTAATTAATTAATCTTTCTCGGCATTTTTCGTACTCGGTTATTCATAATGATTCGATCGCTTCGAATCATGGCCTGTACGACACACGGTGACATTTCAGGATTCTCGAGGAATGGTTGAATGTTCAATTGAAAGATTCTAAGATTCAGCGCTGATGAAGGTTCTAAGATATTTTAAAAAATGGTGACAGGCAGCGGAGAGACAGATCGGAGCGAGAGGAAGGGTAGCAGCAGCCCTGACGCTAATCTCGAGTTAGGTGGCTACATTTTCTCGTAGACAGGGAATATACGGGCCTCGTAGTAGTTGCACGGTTATCTGTGCCGCGATTCTGCGCACGTCACAAATATATTTTTAAATTATTACCAAAATTCCTTCGCGTTTCAAGAATTTTAATTCAATTCAAGAAGATTCCTATTTCAACAGCCCTCAGAGAATCATTCCCTCTTATCAGACGAATCCAAAATTAACGCGTAACCACGTTCGAAGCGAAAAGAATATAAAAAAAAAAAAGAAAGAAACAAAGACTGTTACTTTTACTCCTGAAAAATACGAAGCAGAGAGTAACTGCGGAACGTTTCAAATCTTTTCCACCGCTTCTTCCTCTGTTTCCGTCCTTCTCGCCGTTTTTTCCTCAATCTTGCTGCTGCTTCTGTCTCTACGACCACCAGAGAGTAAGATGGGGTTGAGACTCGTTACAGCGGCGCTGGCCGCGTATTGGTGGGGAATACGTGAACGAGTAAATAGACAGGTACCGCGCAGAAATGGTACACACACAACGAAATCGCTGGCGGAGGGTCGATGGCGTGGTGAGAGATTCACGGGGGTTGGAGGGATGGCAAGGTGGTAGATAGCAATAAGGTGCTGGGCACCGCGCTGTTACGACCCCTGATCTAGTGATGTCGTATATGAGGAAGCAGCTTCCTGCAGTTTCACGTTGGAAATTATAGGAAACGCTTGCTACATGTTTCATCCGACCTGTCGTTACTATACCGCGTATCTTTGTGCGATGTATTAAAACGTAAACGCGTGATTAGATATTAGAAATTGATTCCGTGCCTTTACGTTCGCTCATGTATAACCAGACTGCAGATTTTTATGCAAAAAAAAAAAAGGGTGATTTATATTTTAACTCTGTCTATTTATAACTCTTATTCGTATATCGTCTTTAAAGCTATACACTTCCGGGACGTGTGACTTAGGGACAATTAAAAGTTTGCATGGTTTCTCTTTGCAAATACACGGTAAGGTTAATTTAGAAAGGCACGGAATTAATTTCTACATCTAATACATATCTAAATAAAAATGTTGGATAAGGAATAAAATGTAGGCGAGTTTCCATATTAAATATTAATTTGCTCGGATTTGCTGTTTACCTTCCAAATTGCACAGAAACGAAAGCCCCGTGGAAATTGTCGCAGACATCGGTGTAGGAGCGAAGGTGTTAATCGGGCTTGTAATCGCGTATCTAGACAGGTTCGCAGGTTCCTTGAAACTCACAGGAGAATTCGTCGAGGCGTGAAATCTTGAAAGGAGCGTCAGGTGAAAAGAACAGCCGCCGGGGGCCATGATGGCTCTGACCTTTCTCGCTTATCTGCGGGACGAGAGAGAGAGATACCGGGTCAATACTTCTCGGGAGGGTTTCCACGAGGAAAGAGGGGATCGCTTCGCCACCCCTCGTTTCTCTGCTCGCCGACGATTGGCGGTGGCAGGAGGCTGGGTGGTGGTTCTGCGAGGGTGGAAACGAGAGATGGATATTTGATTGTACGAAACAACCTCGGTGGACGACGAGAATACGCTTATATTCCAACTGGACCAATCGTTAAATAATACCATTTAGAAAAAAAAAAAAAAAAATGAATTATCAGTATCCTTCTATTTAAATAAATAAATAAACGAAGATTTAGTCTCGAAACGCTTGGAGTCCGAATCTGAAATGCTTCCGATATTGGTTATTTTAGTTCAATAACGTTAGTTTGCGCGTAGAACATTTCTTTCTATCGAAATTAGAGGTCAGAGGTTTGTTTGCTTTAGTTTTCTTCGACTTTTACTTTTCGTGAGGAAGCGCGCGGACTACCGCGTAGTATAACAAATGTCCCAAATTAATTTTTACTCTGAGAAATCGACAAGAAAGAAATGTCTATATTTAATCAATGTTGAATCCAATTCCAATGATTACGATCGATCTTATCTTGGCTAAACAGAGTAGAGCATGCCTTTGGACTCACCACACCTCGTTTCAGCGCTGAACGACGATTGGTCCTGGCAGATCCCCGAGGATGGGGACGGAGAAGGTAACGCGGGGTTGAAAGCGGCGGAAAACGTTGTGGGATGCCTTCGAGGAATACCAAAGGGAGGAAAGGAGAAAGTCAGAGAAGGAACGAGGACGAAGATTCGCCCTTGAGCTCGAACGCAGAGGGTGAGACGCCTCATGAAACGCCATCATCAAGCATTCATAAGGTGTAGCGGCCTGTTTATCAGAGGAATACTTCGCAGTAGATTCCTTGGGAATAACTGGCGTACTCGGTGCCAGGGATTTTTGAAGAATGGTCCTTTGGAAAATTCTGGAGAAAGTTAGGACGAGTTAGATATCTTCAATTTCGTATATAATACAGTTATAAAAAGTATTACCACTCAAAGTACAGCTGTTTCTGGATGGGAAAATTGATGGTTCCGCGAGATGACTCTTTTATCCTCGCTTTCGACAACTGATGATGTGGGCTGAACGCCCCAGACTATCGAAACGAAAAAATCATCCATCAAAATCGGATCAACACGTCGCACCCTTCGATTTCCCTCGTTGGGAGAAGATGATCCTGGCTCGATCTAGAAAAAAAAAACTATATTCGATTAACGCTACCACCCTCGAATCGATTCCCTTTTCAATGGTTGGTGCTCTACTTTCCCGCGTACTCGTTGCAAATCGAGGGTTACTGTGATAACTGGAGCAACATTAACGTGTTAAAAAGTTGGTAAAACGGTTAATCCTGGCGATGGACGACGATCACGAGCGAGTTTAATCGCGTTTCGCTTTCACCTATGGGTTACAACGATTCGTGATGCCTGGATAGAGCGTAAAGCATCGGCTGCGAATGGAGCAGCATATGCGGATGTAACCCCTCGCAGGGGTATCGTCGCCACCCGTGGCTGTGTCCGTTTTGTCATTGGAATTTGATGATCCACCGTCCCCCAAGGGGCTGGCTACATAAATATTTGCCTGGTAATCCCTTCATGGATCCACTTGCCTCCTCGACAATGTGATCCCCTTTGTTCCAACTTCTACGCACGCCACACCCTTTCGTTTTAACGCGTGGATCTTCAGCGATGCTTTACCGACTCTTTTAAATCTGCGTTTCAAACTCTGCTAAGCTGAGTAACAACAGCATCCTGACACACGATCGTCTGGCTTGGGCTCATCTTGCAACTTGAAAGCAAAAGGTAATTGGCATACTGTTCTGGTATTGATGAAGTGTACAACACAGGTCTTCAATACCGAAGAAACGCAACATTGGCACAACCATCTTCCTTATGATAGTTTCAGAACTATAATATTCATCCTTCTCTAGACTTCACGCTGCGACATTCGTTGAAAAAACTAGTAGCAGTCGTAACTCTTCCAAGCGTTGATCGTAAATCGTCACGCATAATGAAGTCTGGTCACCGTCGAGGACTTTACGCTCGATTAATTTCATTAACGAGTCCCAACCCCTTGGGTCTCGATTCGTACCCTTGCTTCGTGAGCGACAGCAGGTAAGGATTACCCTTTCGACAAGTGCAGGGGCGAACCCCGCAAAATAATAAACGGGATCGTTACCATATGTAAAGGACGTACATGATGTCACGGTGACAATTGGGAGGACAGAACAAATTGCGTCGATCGGTTTGTCAGTCGCTTATTATCGGAGATGGACATTATTCGATGAAATCAGAGCTCCCTTCTTTCTTAGGCAGGAAGTGAGAACTGTGATGTTAGGTCATCCCATGAGTAATGCCGACTCTTACATTACTGTAACAAGACATCTTCTTTCAGACCGCTCATAACAAGGATAACAGTAAAAAAATATATATATAAATGCAATAACAATAAGTGATTACAAGCTATTTGTTTAAATCGAAACCTCGAACATTTTGGAAAGATGGAATTGAGAATGATAACTGAAAGATGGAAAAAGATTATAGAAAGTTAGCGTCCCAAAATGGGAATACTTATGGGATGACTTGATAAATTATGTGCTCGATAGCGGTACAGTAATCTCAAATTTTTTCGCAGTAGCAGCATCATATGCTCGAGCATCGGAGGATCGTGCAACATATGTCAATAAATTCTACGAATCTCGCGATAATCCCATTTAAAGCGGCGATCATGTATAATGCAGTGACTTCATCTGCCGCAACACGAAGTCATCCAAGGATGATTAATCGTTTCGTAGCCTCCTGCTGTCACGATCCCCATGCGGAAAGAAGAGTTTTTGTAGCGTCAGTGCGAAGATCGCAAGAATTTATTTTATTAAAAATAAAAACAAGATCGTAAATCCCTTTTTGAGGGGTTAATTGTCAGCGTTAAGGAGTATACGAGAAACCAACGTTTCGACCAATCCATCGTCGATCTTTGATTCAACGGCCACGCAAAGGTTGCGGGATTAATTTCCTCGCGAGACCAGAGGGTGGAGGCCGACGATGCGCCACGTCAAAGTGTCTTCGTTATCAACGTCCTGTTCACCTCTCAGTTGACACGCCGTAAATCGCGCATCGACGTGCTACAGCAAAAAAATCGAAGCTGTGCGAGAGAGACCAGCGAACGTCCTCTTCTGCAATCTCCAGGAAAATGAACGCCATAAATAAGCACGGTCGGCCAATAATTCCGTCGCGATCGAGCAACAAGAGTTTTTCATCGGTACAGGCGGAACGGGGTTGCGGACGCGGTCCCAAAGTAGCGATAGTAGCGATACGATTCGATCTTCGGACTTATCTTAATTTATAAACAGCTTTGTTTACAAAATCGGAGTCCAACGAGACTCTACACAAAGTTATAACGACTAAACTTCTGTGGTAACGCATTTAGTTTTAAGATCTAATTAGTTTTAACTAATACATTCTAAGATCTTCTCAAGCTTAGACTTAGGCTAGCTATATACGCACGTATACAGATATACTGTATCATAATACAGCATAATACAAAATATACCAGCATATAAAAATAGAATATAAAATAAATAAGAGCCATTCTAATGTACTCTATAGAACGAGTCGTACGCGAGGGTGTTGGTCCCATCGCTAGCTGCAAGGGCGAAAGCACCATCGCGACGTGGGGGTGGAGGAAACGATAGCGTAGGAGGGGTAGCAGGAGGACGCGTTTTGTAATCAAATCTAAAATTCCCAGCGCGGAGGAACCCGATGAAAGAGTAACCAACGGACACAATCGAATCGGGCTACCCGCTTGTCACCTGACTTCAAATAAGCGACCACTGTCCTGCGATTTCTAGGCGGTGTTCCCTGCACTACCTTTAGCCTCGTTTCTCCCCCTCAGGTCGACCTCAGATTTCCCCCGAGACTGAAAAAAAAAAAAACAACTATCGCGCACCCCTTTCCACGTCGAACGAGTTGGCACAGTGTCAACCACCTCTGATCCGAAATTTTTTGCAAAATTTTTTGGATCAGCTATATTGGAAAATCGTTTGAGAATTTAACGAATATACGGTTCGATTTAATTTTAATGCGATTCATTTGTTAATAGGGAACAGAGACTTTAATTTATATAGTTAAAAATCAATGTTACTTGTTCGCGAATTAATTGATAGCGTGCTTGAATAGAATGTAAGTATTCGTTAATTTTTTTGTTTACATTACTTTTCATTCTCTGATATCCTTAATGGGGATCTGTTGGGCCCACTGATCCCCCTTTCTCGGAACCAGTGATGACAGAAACGAGTCTAGGACCCCCTGGGTCGACCCGGATCGCTAAGCCCCGTACTGTAACTACAATCAGCCCCTGAGGGCCGCAATATCGTCAAACGGGTATGGAACGCCATCTAGCAGTAGCAATGGGAACTATTTCACTACAAACTTGAGGACTCTAAACACAGATGGCGCTATCTGTTCAAACTTCTATGGATTGTGTCCAAAATAAATTTTTCTAATGGAAAAAGAAAAATTAGTTCTAAAAACATAGTAGCGTATAACTTTATAAAATGTTTAACAAGGAATCCTGTATTCCTTTATATTTTTAAAAGCCTTAACATTATACATATACGGAATTAATACAGTTTCGGTATATAATATTCATTTTAATAAAGACCATTTCAGTTGTTCCTTCGCCGATTGCAGAACCTAGAACAAAAATCGACTATTTAGTAACGTACGTGAAGGTTGTAATAAAAATTGTTAAGATTCTGTCTTCTATGGTTACAAAAACTTACAATCAGAGACTGTGCGAAGAATGTAGAATGACGCATGAACACAAAATAAAGAAATCGAAAGTGTTTCTATGTCACAAACGGACACACACGTTACTACTACATTTAGTTCATAAAACTTGTTACCTAACGCTGATCGTTACCTGTGCAACTGTTTGCTCTCCAAGCGGAATGTCATCTGTTCGTAACGCTACCCTCTGAACGACGCTGGAAGCATCGGCGTCGAGAATAATTCTGAAAAAATCCAATATCGTCGGAATTATTTCTTTTTTTTACGAATGCGCGTACTCAATTATTTCTATTTACCCTCCATCGCAGATTTCATCCATTGCTAGCATAACTATATCTAGGCTATCCAAAACAGCTCTTTTCTCTACGTTCTTCCTCAAAATTTGGCTGACCGAATCATACAAACAGTTTAAGACGCTCATTAAGATAAGCTGAAACAAAACATTTTACAAACAGATACTTTCCACTATTCTCGCAATTGTTTACTTCAGAGATATATTTACCTCGTTTTCGTGAGAGCTTCCCATGACGTAAAAGAACAAATCGACGTAACTTCTATAAACGCACGTTAAACCGTCCAACATAATAATTTCTGCGTTTGCTCGGTGTGTTTTGTTAAAAAGATTCTTCTCAAATGCTTTCTGTTCCTTCGGTGTAGGAAATATATTCTTGTCGTAATACTTCGCTAATATTCTGTTACCGTCGTTGTCAAGGATGGCCATACCCTTGACTGTATAGAGCGTTGGTTCCTATAGTCATACGTGATTCGTATTAGAAAAAAGAAAGTTTAAAAAGAAACAGACTTTCCCACATATGCACCCATGTAGTACTTGACTACGATTTTTAGCCTTTCGATGGCAAGTCGCTCGCCCCAAATGTTCTTCGAGAATTTGATTATACGTAGTAGACCTTGTGTAATTGTACGATTAATCAAATTGAAACGAAAATTGAAAAAAAAGCTTTTAGGGTGAACGACTCGGCCTACATGGCCATCAGGGTGTTAATAACCACGCATGCTACATTAAAGTTATAGAGGTTAAGAAACACCTGCATTTAGTATTATTATCCAACTAAATGATAACAAATGGGAACAGACAGGAAAAGCAAACTTAAAATCAATAGAAATCATACGCGTTGTAGAAAATCGCGATCCTGGTCACTCTGAAGCATTGAAGATAGGTTATGTTGCACGACTTTCGATGATCCACCACGATTCATGATTACAATTGCACGAGTCAATACTTACATCAAGAACATATTATTACGAGACGTACTTTATTACGAGGTCTGTATAAAAAAAAATGAAGACGCACATGAAAAAACCTACCAATAGCTGGCCATCCATGTTTACGTCAAACTTGACGCGTCGATAATCTCACTACTACGTAAATCGTACTGCCACTGCGCAAAAATGAATTCGATCGACAAATCGAAAGGAACGTTAGAAAATTGTTAACATAATATTATATTTATTTCTTCGTATTTATGTGCTCATACATTTTTTCAATGATTTTTCCAATTCTTGTCGAAATATATACTATAATGGTCATCGTATAAAATGAACCTTGAACAAAATGTTTCATCACAGTTACTTATTATCGACAAATTAACATGTAGAAATATTGTATGCAATTAAGACTTCCTTAATAAATATATTAGTTCTCTATTCTAAATGACTAAGCGATCGAAAGCGTTTCAATTTTAAACTTTTACAGAAGGTTCTTTCTTTTTGATCATATTCGTATATTTACGAAAGAATTCTGGTCCGTCCCAGTGGCCCCTGTGAATCGTAAACAGTTAATATTAAGAAATCTCGCATTACTCCCATTTAATTCGAGATTTTTAAATTGCATAAAATTTACCGTAGCATTAAATGCCAGTAAAGAAGTGGGAAACCGTATGCTTTGAGTAGAAACGTAAAGAAATATTCTCGTCCTTGATTTACTGGAAATGTTTCCAATGGTTGCAAATTATAATCAAATTCGGCCAGAATACATTTCCTGTAACCAGTAACCAAAGGACACGACGAATAACCGTTGTAAGCCATGGTCATTGGTTTACCAGCTAAATCGTCGTTAATATTTTTATATAATACTTTGCTTTGAGCCGCTGAAATGAAAATATATGTTTGTGAAAATTCAATTTTACAGTTCTCGGTATATATATATATATACTGTCGTACCTATCGCAGCCATTGTTTTGGAATTCGGAGTGCTCGTACAATCTCCTATTCCATATATGTTCGAATATTTCGTATGACGTAGAGTTTTAGGATCGACTGACAAAAATCCCACGTCGTTCGTTAACGAAGAGTGCCTTTTCAAAACATCGGGTGGACCCATCGGTGGACACACGTGTAGTAATGAATACTAAACAAGAATATATTATAAACGACATTGTTTCGTATATGTCTTTCTATATAATGTTCGAAAATACCTTTTGTACAAACGTCTCGTTTGATTTATCTAATTTCTGAAATACAGCTTCACGCGCCGCGACATTTATTTCTACAAGATTCGTTTGAAGATTAACGGTAATGTCTCTTCGTTTACAAACACCCCAGAGTGCATCAGCATATTTTTTTACGCCAAATATTACTGGCAAAGCTGTGTTATACACAACTTTTATATTATCGCGCACATTGTGCTTTAGCAAAAATAAACATTATCATGATTATGTATTAAACCTCAAACAATATAAAATAAATCGGAATATATGTAGATCGATCGTACTTTACGAAAATATTCTTCTGCGAGATATAGTATTTTTTGTGGAGCCCCGGGACATTTCACTGGGCCACTTGGAAAAGTAAATACAGCAGTGCCATCGTTAGTTCTCGAAATTTTAGAAAAGACATTTACAACAGTTTCAGGTCCATATATAGAACAAACTTGAGATGTATGATCTCGAAGTCCTTCCTTTAAACCTGGCACCTGATAGATACATGAAATGAAATTAATGTTTACTTCTTTATCAAAAGATGTAATACATTTTTTACAACCTCACTTTTTCCCAATGCAATTGTAATCCCATTGCAATGATCAACACGTCGTATTGTACAGTATCCCCATTACTCATGGTTATTTGGTTCTGTTCTGGTTCAAAGCTCATTACACTTTCTTGAAGCCATTTTGCTTGTTGTGGTAGAACATCCTTCATTGGTCTTTTTGAATCTTCAAATGATCTTATACCACCACCGATTAAAGTAAATAATGGTTGATAATAGTGGATCTAGAAAATATAATTATGGTTAGTAAGGGTAACAAGATAGTCTTGCAGGCTTTTTGAATATAAAAAAATGTTACCTCATTTGGTTCCACTATGATAACTTTATTTGGATCCTTGAATTTGTTAGCAAATTTTGCAGCCATACTGCAACCTCCAGTTCCACCTCCGACTACCAGCACCTTACACCTACAGTGTTTTGTTTTATCAATATTAATATGAAATTCATCCTATCTTTCTCAGATTTAAATACTTACGAATGATGAATACTCCTACATCCATTTTTAATTAATAAATTCCTCGTGAAAGATACTATGGGCTGGTGAAAATATCTAATGTGACACATTCTGAAATTAATTAAGAATAAGTACAAAATGTAATATACAAAAAACAAACGTAATACGTTTATTCTTACTTACATCAAAACTATAAAATTTAACAACTGAAACGAGCAAGTTTCTGATTTTTTCCTACACCGGTGATCATGCAATTGCGTATGCGATACGTTTGGTAGAAAGTTTTAATAACCGTGACGTCAAAATACTTTACTGAATATATTATCGAATAGGACTCAAATATAAATTCATTCAATCACGTGCAAATGTTCGATTTCCCAAAGCCCGACACGTAAAATAGAATGCTCGCGAATACATACTGCTGCACAGTATACTTGGAATGATGCTATCTGATGCTATCTACATACATTCTACTCTTTTTAACCTTACAGAACTACGCAGGCGCAATTTCAAATTTCATACAAGTGTTAAACAAATAAATTGTGTTACGTAGCACATGTGCAAATTAGATGGTGTACTTATGTAGTAAAACTACAATAGTCACTTGTAAAACCACTAAAAGGTAAAAATGTTTTCTTTACAAAATTAGTTTATTATAGTCATTATATAACTTACTGTACATCGATCGTTTGATGAGATATAAATTTATGCGTATATCAATAACGATAAGATTCGAGGAATTGTTGAAAACGTGCAAATAGTGAGTCACTTCATATATTCGTTATTATATTTGAAATGTCCATTTCAAGAACAAAAATATAATCTATACTAACCTGCTTGGACTTGTATATCTTATTTAAAAAAACTCATGGGACACATGTGTGTCCCAGTTCTAAAAATTCCTGCAAAGAATTTTATCCACCACTTTTGAATTTATAAAAAGGAAGTGGCAAAATCGAAGGGACGTAAACACGAGAGGTGAAATAACGTGGAATACGAAATGCTTTGTTTTAGTCATTCTTTTGCTTCTCTCTTTATTGAGGATAACTTTTTTTTTAAACGCCGCCTGAAACTAGGCAAGCCCGGCGCGATCCCGAAAATCGTCAGTCGCGACGAAACGGAGAAAATATCTCTCTAAAAATCTGAATACATCCGTCGAAATCTAGTCCTCCTCGTGAATACAATGATTGCACACTTCACTGGAACAACGGATGCGCGACATCCGTTTCGCGTCGAGGATGATGGAACGTGGTTTCAAAACAAGAGAAAGAAAACTTAAGGAAATTTTTGAAAACGTGTTTCGTTACGTAAACAAAATCATGTAAAATGCTTGTCAGTTTAAGTAGAATTTGTTCTCGATTTTGCGTACGATCATTTTGATCAGGACAATCATTTTTCGCGACTGAGGACATCCGGGTCGAGCGTGTACCCACGATACGCAGCTCAATGGCATGCGTGTGTGAAATACAAATGCATGAATTGCAAACGATAATAATAATAATAATAATAATAATAATAATAATAATAATAATAAT